AACGAGCGACCGGCCGGATGGGCCAACGGCTGGGGCTGAATATTGCAAGTCGGCGTCAGCTGCCGGGACGGGTTGCAGCAGCGGTGCGGGCGGCAGAGGCGGAGGCGGAGGCGGAGGCGGAGGAGCTGGCCGACTGACGCCCACGAGCGAGCGAGCGACCAGGCGGGCGGGCCGCAGTGTGGGGGCGTGGCGGAGCGTGGCGAGACGGCCTAGGGACGGCGAAGGGGACGGGCTGGATAATTACCACAGCGCCGCAGAGTTCGTTACCAGAGCCAGGCATTTGCACATCAAACCCGAGAGGGCCCGCTCCCGCCCCCGTTGCCGTCAAATACACGTGAGACCCATCCTCTCCGTTACCCCGGACGCCTTTGCTCCGACGGATATCGAAATAAATTCGTGTCAGAGAAAAAGGCTCGTTGATTATTCCCCCTCCTTTGCCCCTCGTCCTGAATTTTTAGAACTGGTGTCTGGGGATTTTTATGAAAGCGCAAGATGAAAAGTTGGATGCGGTACCGCTTAGTACTTCCCAATTTTTGTACATGTTAAAATAATTGCGTACAAAACTTTGAAGACTGAAGACTAAGTTACATACTTATTACTTCCATTTTTTTAAATTATCTTTTAATAAATACAAATTGTTTAAGTTTTGTAACTCTTTTGATTCCTGATTTCTCATTTCATGAAAAACTCGTGGCAACGTACAAGTATACCTAACTTCAATATAATTTGCAACAAGGGAATTATAAACAGTGATGTAATACAATAGTTTGACTTTTTAAAGATAAATGAAATGTCTACTCTACTGGAAACTTATGAAGCATGATATAATAATAATAATAATAATAATAATAATAATAATAATAATAATAATAATAATAATTATTATTATTATTATTATTATTATTATTATTATTATTATTATTAATAGTAATCGATAATATAAAGACATTTTGTTGAACCATCTTCAACATATTTTGAAATGAAATATATGTTATGATTTGTAGTAAAATCATACTGTTGGATAAGATTTTCCCGAATACTCGAATATCCAAAAGTATGTCATGTATTTGCTTACTTCCTACCTAACCATATTTCACAAACACCTTTAATATGTATCAATACTTACAGTTTACAGAAGCTTCCTTAAAGCTGGCAATTCTTGCTTTGTCAAAAAGGTTCATGGAAACATTTCAATCGTACTATCTCTGGAGGTAAACTTAGAAGAAAGGGGTGAATAGTTAGAATTACACATTGCAAGGTAGAGAATATGATTACATTTCTCCATGAAACATTGTATCATAGCATTACTTAAGAGTAACTTTCTTTTGCTTCTCCAAATTAACTTTTCTAAACATTTGCTATGCCTGAGATACTGAAACATGTCTTTGTTGCAACTGCGCAGGTCTGGAGCGACTACCAGCTACAGTGGGACGAAGCAGACTATGGCGGTATTGGAGTGCTTCGACTACCACCCGACAAAGTGTGGAAGCCGGACATAGTGCTCTTCAATAAGTATGTTAAAATTGCTGAAATAGTTGTTTAATATTCAGACAACAGCACGAGTTTGCATTGACAAATTTGATGATGAAAGTATTGCTTCATTTACTGATAAAATGGTGATATTGATCGATCCAGCCTTTCCGGAATCAAATGTTAATTTATACTTTTGGATACAAGAGTCAAAATGGATTTATATTCATTCTTCTCTAATGTGTTAAAATGAATTTCTTAAACTTGCTTAAACAACGTAGCCTTTACATGATACTCTATTATCACTAGTGGTATATAAGATTCCTGCAATATCTTTAAAAAAATTAAATTTGTTTCGATGTCACGAGGTTCTTGTAAAAGAAAAATATTTTATCAAGGAAACATAATGAAATACTTTGTTACCCGTTTGAAAAGAGCGCTCTCTACATTCAAGACCGTCTGTCATAGCATCAACATAGGCATAGCAAGTTCATTAAAGAACTCCTAGATTTTTTTGAAGAAAGTTAATATTTTTGAGAATTTGCATGAGTGTACACAATATTGAGCATGAATGGTTCTTAAAATGCCACTATTGTCATAGTGCCGACGGGAATTACGAGGTGCGATACAAGTCGAACGTGCTGATCTACCCGAACGGCGAAGTGCTGTGGGTGCCGCCCGCTATTTATCAGGTAAGTTAGAAAAATGGAATTTGGGTCAAGTGAATTGTATGATTCTTATCTGCATAGTATTTCGAGCGATTAAGTCTAAACATTTGAAAAGAGAACTATTAATTAATTTTATTAATAATTTTATTCATTTTACTGTAGAAATAAAAACAATCTTCAATGTGTCGTAAGTTATTGCATTGAGAAAAATTGAACTTATGTAATAATGTATAAATCGCCCAGGTAATGTACTAACACATATTACATTAAATGTTATTTAAATATTAAATAAGAAACTTTTCTAAATAAGTATTTAAAAATTTCATAGAATACGGAAATATTATCTTTTACTTAATGTTTGAACCCGTAAAATATCAAATACATTAAAAAACTTATATTTTTTTTACTTTTAAGTAAAGTGTTTAGAAGTGAAATGCAATGAAACTGTTCGTTTTCAATATTGTTTTTAAATATAACTCACGAGTTTTATTTTTCTCTTAATTGGCTCGGTAGAAATAATATTGTCAGGAAATATTCGGAAGGAATATGCATTGTTGACATTCAAAGTGATATGCATAAATTACTTCGTAATGAAATTCACAAATAGTTAATATAGACATGTGAAGTTGATTTTATTTTGGAATTCTACGTATGATACTTGTATTGTAATGTCTAGTAGTTTGGCAGTCTGTTTATATTACTTCATTATTACCAAAGAATTACGAACTTCTCATTACTAACACCAAGTAAAATAATTATTTTTAGTTTCATCAAATCCGTAAAGACTTGAATTAAAGTTAAAAGTTTTGATAAAACGTTGTTACATTGTAATCTGTAGTTGATTTTATATTTATATTTAATTTACGTGCTTTTTGTATTTTTTTAAATATTTTACTTGACTTTATAGTAAGCCCAATAGTTGGTGTTCCATGGTGTTCCTGTTTGTGACTGCAGAGCTCGTGCACCATCGACGTCACCTACTTCCCCTTCGATCAGCAGACGTGCATCATGAAGTTCGGGTCGTGGACTTTCAACGGAGACCAAGTGTCCTTAGCGCTGTACAATAACAAAAACTTTGTCGATCTGTCCGACTACTGGAAGTCGGGCACGTGGGACATCATAGAGGTGCCGGCCTACCTCAACGTCTACGACGATACGCCGCCCACCGAGACGGACATCACGTTCTACATCATCATCCGGCGCAAGACGCTGTTCTACACGGTGAACCTGATCCTCCCCACCGTGTTAATCTCCTTCCTGTGCGTGCTGGTGTTCTACCTGCCGGCCGAGGCGGGCGAGAAAGTAACGCTGGGGATCAGCATCCTGCTGTCGCTCGTCGTGTTCCTGTTGCTCGTGTCGAAGATCCTCCCGCCCACGTCGCTCGTCCTGCCGCTCATCGCCAAGTACTTGCTGTTCACTTTCATCATGAACACCGTGAGTATCTTGGTGACGGTGATCATCATCAACTGGAACTTCCGCGGCCCGCGCACGCACCGCATGCCGCCGTGGATCCGCGCCGTGTTCTTGCACTACTTGCCCATCATGCTGCTGATGCGCCGGCCCAAGAAGACGCGCCTTCGCTGGATGATGGAGATGCCCGGCATGAGCGCGCCCCCGCACCCGTCCTACGGGTCGCCGGCCGAACTGCCCAAGCACCTGGCCGCGGGCGCCGCCACGCGCAGCAAGATGGAGGTCATGGAGCTCTCCGACCTGCACCACCCCAACTGCAAGGTGCGCCACCTTTCAATGCATTTCCGGCTTTATTCTTCTTTCACACATCACAGTACTAAAGCGCACTTATTTCAATAGCAAGTTAGGATTTTGGGGGAATTCAGATACTCTCATTCGTGGGAGAAATGAAAATGGGTCCTTATGAAGGACGAAATTATCGCAACTGTGTATTACTGTACCATACTTTCCACAAAGGGGTTTCTGTGAACGACATTTACCTATCACACTCAACTAATTCAAGAACACCAAAATTTACATTAATAATGTTGACATCTGGTTGAGATTTTTGGACAAATTCATATATTGAAGACTTATGTGATTTATAATCAATAGTTTTTGGTTGTAAAACACTCCGCACATGGAAAGAACAGATCTTCCTAACAACACTTCCATTGACATTGACAGTACGAAACATATATTTGAAAATATACCACGACAAAATTAAGCATTATTAACCCTGAATGCATGTATAATCCTAGATAATTTTCAGAAGGTATTTATTTTTAATGCAATGTTCCTATATTGTCTAAGACACATGAGGGTAGTCTTCATAGGCTGGGTACCTCAAATCAAAGGGTATATTCCAGTGTGGGAAAGGATTTATGTACCCCGCATTTTTTGTAATGTGCCACGGAGAGGTAGTATTCTACAGTGAACATAGAATCAAAGAGGATGAATGGGTTATTCGAAGGATACAGTGATCAAAGGTGATTTAATATAGGTAGTAGATCCTTACAATACATATTTTGTAATTAAGCAGAAATTAAATATATAAAGTTATGGGAAATTTGTACATTCTTATAAATTATACTAAAACAATTACCAGTCATTTTTACACGATTGATCATTGAAGACGTACTTTGCAGACATTTGAATCCCATAGAATATATACAAAATATACAGTTCATCAGAGGCATTTTGTTATATAATAAATATGGAATCACTTCCATCGTCTACTTTTTAGAGAAACAATATCAATGAATTATTATACTAATGTTTCCTTTACATTGCTTGGATTTCCCATATTATTCTTTCCTCTCATTTATGCCACTATCAACTATATACACACTTATTACATCCTATTTATCACGGTATGTATATAAACGTTTAAAATAAATGAACAAGCGCGTCCAATAGAGTACTTCAAGATAACTTGTGCTGAAGTTGAATGATTTTGTATTAATGTTCAGTTGTTTCGGAATCCAAAGCATGGAGACCGTTATGGCATGAGCGCGTAAGTTGTTATGATCCTAGTGAGAATGACTATTATTTTTAGGGGCATTCTGATAGTACATTAGCAGATGAATATCCAGGCTAACAAACATTGCAAGACTGTTTATAAAGACAAGAGAATTGTTGTTCGAAATCTTCCTTGAGTCAAAGATGTAGTCGCAATTAGGGCGAAACGAGATTTGGTGACAGATTCTCTCCTGAGGACGGAGTAACCCGCTCTGGTTGCAGATTAACCGCAAGTCGAGTGCGGAGCTGGGCGGCGGCGGTGTGGTGGGCAGCGGCGGCGGCGGCGGCGGCGGCAGGAGGGAGAGCGAGAGCTCCGACTCGCTGCTGCTCACCCCCGAGGCCACCAAAGCCACCGAGGCGGTCGAGTTCATCGCCGAGCACTTGCGCAACGAGGACCAGTACATTCAGGTGAGCCTGAAGCCCCGTGGCACGTGACCAACACACAAGTTAGAAACGAACTGAAAAGAGAAAAGTTGAATACTTGCATTAGATGACTGTCATTAAAATGTTTTGAGGACTTACCAAAGGCGGCGAATTGTGTTAAAAACTATTATCTAGGACGTTCAGCAGAAGACATTAAAGTTATTTCAAGATATCCCAAGGATAAACTACGCCCACCATAGATAAAAGCTTCAATAAGAATGCAAATTGAATATAAAGGATTGCGAAATACACAAACATAACATTGAACAACAGAATGTTACAAATTCAAAATATATATTTAAAAAATCCCATACACTAAATTAAGTCAAACTTTTCAAAGTAAGAAGGAGCTTCGAATAAATGAACTCCCCGCCTGCCTATGCCCTCACCCAGTTCTGGTATTATGACATGCAAATCTCTGTAACATCAGTGGATTAAACAGATAGAAAATAAAGATGTGAAGAAAGGTGAGCGCTGTCGATGTCGCTCCTCCGGCTGTTACTTTTTCAATCGTCAGCAAGGGCCAGCTGACCACCCGCCAACTCTTATTTCTTAACAACAACAACTAGTTTTAATACTTCACAATATTTCCAAGGTTCTAATACATCGAGTACTTATGGAAATATTCCAGAAAACTATCCATAGCTAATCTATCATAGCTATCATGGATCTGAGAAGCTATATATGTCTACTCCAACTCTCAAAGCATTCTGCTTGTTTATTTTATGTTACCAACAACTTCTGTTGTTAGGCAGGACATGCGACTACTACCTTACGTGGCTGATGTGTGTGAGAGAGTTTATGGAGAACACTATTGGAATTGTGTGACTCTATTTTATTTGTTTAGCGGGCGAAGTGTGAGCGTGTGTGTATTTGTATGTGTGAGATGAGTATGAGTGTGTGATCATATTTTTCAGCTTTTTCTATTCTCAATGTATTATTTTCCTCTCCTTATTTCGATTTCTTTCTCCTTCCCTCTCTTTCCTATATAATTAATCTTTGTCCCAGCGGCGGTTGATGCTGAAAACCAAGTGTGAGCTGTTAGCAGTGATATAGCTAGCTTTTCCAACGCCTGGACCAAACAAATGTCTAGTCCCTTCTCCAAAAAGTATTACTGTAAAAGTATTTTGATGAAAAATTGTTATAGACTGTTAAAATTATGTGTGAGCTTAAATATGTGTCTCTAATTTAAAAGACATTCACGTAAAAATGATAACTATGGCAAAAATTTTACATATAAAAATAATGTATACATCGTGTGGGAATTAAACTTTTTATTTATTATTCTGTATTAACTTATTTTGTCAGTTGTAAAAATATACAGGTTAAAATTGTATTGCATGTACGAATTCGATTTTGTCATCCAATTTCGTGTCTACAGGCGCCATCGGTTGTCAGTAATATATTTTAAGAGCATGGAACTGCTCTGTAAACGATATAAGGTACTGCCCACGACAATTCTTTGTTCTGTGAATCTCGAAACCTTCGAGAGATTAATAACCAACATTGTACAGCATGCGAACAACACGAATTATCGTATTCTACGTTCTCGTTCAGGCCGTGATGTAAATAACACATTATTTGTTAATTACAGCATGATTCAGCTTTCTCGTTCAAACAGCACATGCCAAACCCCAGACCGCTCCAGACGTGAAATTTTTGAGACAAATGGAAGATGATGTTATGTATTTGTCCAGCGTTTTTGATAGGTGAATTAAACAAAATTCTGATATTTTGAACCTTATTGTTTATTCATTAAATAGAATGGCTAGTATGCTGTACCCCGTAACACTTGCGGTCTAGCCGCCACTGCTTTGTCCATTCCACCTTTTGTGTGAGATTTTTTCTTTCAAATATGAATCTTCATTATTAACTAAATAACTTTCCAATTTCAATATTACCTACTTAATGTTTTTTTCTTACAGATTATTTACTACATAAGCCTCTAAGTCACAGAATAAAGCAAATTAAAATATTATAGATGCGTCAATATACTACTTTCATTTAAATAATTCTTACAAAAATATCATTAGTACACTAATAGTCTGTAGACAGCGAATGTTTAAGAAAATGCTTATTTTATTTCAATTAATATATTAAAAGACTGCGCGAATTATAAAAATTAAACGTCCTTAATATTAGTTCATGCAATTAGTTTATAATGATAAGCTTTATTGCGTGAGTACATGTTTTGAAAAGAGGCGACGTTAGGAGCTAGTTTTTAAATTTGTACAAATGCAATAAAGTAATATTATAAACGAGTTGCATACGCTGTTTTTTAGTGTAACAACATCATAAATGTATAAGATAATCAAACTTAATTTAGCGAAATAACTTTTTTGTGATGTCCCTGGTATTTGACATATGTGCGAAAAACTGTTGTCGGCTGTTCCGTTTACCTCTACTTCCCCACCATTCTCTCGCTGCGATTGGCTGAATGTGTGGCAATCCGTGCCCTAAGATCTAATACGGCATCATTTGTGTTGTAAAATGCCCGATAAAGAACGATTTCTTGCAACAGAAAAAATCGTTTATAATACTAGTGTATAAAAATGAATGTATATATCTATCTAGTTAAACATTTAAATCATGTTTATTTTTACTACCAGCTAACTGCCGGTAACAATCCCTAATATTCTTGTCAAGACTGAAGATGTCATTTGGGTTTGCACGTCTCTTTCTCTTTCTCTTTCTC